TGATTGCTGGACTTCAATACTTTGATAGCTAGACCATGACGGCCTCAGGAGGAGGAATTGGCCAAATAAAGGGATGGACCTTGGGGGCCCGCTTTAGGAATGTAATCTCAAGGTTTTAGCAAGGCAGAGGGAACTGGGGAGGACAAGGTCTGCTAGAGCTCCACGCTCCAGTGGCTAGTGTCCGTGACATCTTACATGTCTAAAGTGGGCGGAGCCTCCTCCCTACCCTCACCCTATTGCCTCATCTGACCCCACCCTTGACCCTGAGTCAAAGAGCAGCACCAGCACACACGTCTGCAGGTCCACCGGTCTGGCTGGCCTCGGAGACGCCACCGGACTTGCTGTCTCCACCAGGTGGCACTTAACACCCAGGCCTTGTTTATTTGTTTAACAAATATTTCATGGCCGCCCTTGTTATGCCAGGCTCTGGGCCCAAAGATAGGGTCGTGGAGATAAAAATGCAACAACTTCTCCTTTCCGGGAGTAGGAAACATGTAAACAAAGACAAGGAAGAGAAGATTCCCTTAAAAGGTGAAAATTGCTGTTCAAATCAGAACCCCAGTGATCTCCAGAGACACTGACTATTGTTTTCCTGTCAGACACAGAGGAGTGGCAGGCCAGTGACCCAGAGGGGCTAGACCCCAGCTCTGTGCTTTCTCCCTACTGGATCTCTGTCCCATTGAGACATTCTAGAGCACAATGAACAGTGAGCTCTTGAAAATTCCAGAGGGGATGCTGAGGATGTTGCTAGATGATAAAATCTTTGCCTAGGGTGCACAAAGCCCTGGGTTCCATCTCCAGCACCATTGCATACACCAGCAATGGTGGTGTACACTTTGAATCCCAGCACTCAGGAGGTGGAAGCACAAAAGGTCAGGAGTTCAAGGTCATCCCTGCATCCTTGGCTACATAGTGAGTTCCAGGCCAGCCTGAGACGCACAAGAACCCATCTCAAAAATTAAAAATAAATAAATAAATAAATTTCAGGATGTCCCTACATGGGATGTGTCTGGAACGGGCAGGGCACAGGCTTAGGTTGTCTGGCCCTTTTTACCCGACAACAGAATCCCACGCCCATCCCCAAAGCCTTTGTAAAAGCTAGTACTCAGCTGATGTGCTTTTGTTTTGTTTTGTTTTGTTTTGTTTTGTTTTGTTTTGTTTTGGTGTGTGTGTGTGTGTGTGTGTGTGTGTGTGTGTGTGTGTGTGTCAGAGAGGAGGGGAGGAGGGAGGAAGGAGGGAGGAAGGGGGCGGGGGACAAGAACCTGCAGAGGTCAGAAGAGCAGAAGAGAGCATCAGGTCACCTGGAGCTGGACTTAGAGACAGCTTATGAGCATCCTGATGTGGGTGCTGAGACCCAAGCTCCTCCGGACGTCTCTTCAGCCAGCCTTCTCTGTTCTGTCCTTATCTTTGAGACAGAGCCTCATTCCCACTTCGTCCTCCGCAAGGGCGGCCAGTGCTGTTAACCACTGAGCCATTCTTTTCCCCAGCCCCAAGCACCCATGATGCCCTTCCATCTGACCGAGTTCAGTTCCCAGCACCCACAGTGGTCGGTTTACAACCGCCAGTAACTCCAGTCCCAGGGAATCCAAAGCCTGGGCTCCAAGGGCACCGCAGGCACGTGTGCATATTCACAAGCACATACATACACACATGATTAAAAGTAATTAAAAAAAACTTTAAAAAATGGTGACTTGGGGGCTGGAGAGATGGCTCAGTGGGTAAGAACACTGGCTGTTCTTCCAGAGGACCCGGGTTCAATTCCCAGCAACCACATGGTGGCTCACAACTGTCTGTAACTCCAGTTCCAGGGGATCTGACACCCGCATGCCAATGTACATAAACTTAAATTGATTATATTTTTAAAATGGTGACTTGGAGCTGGCAGTGGTACCCTTGCCTCCCGCGCACAAGGCCTTGAACTCTGTCCCCTGCACTGTAGTGAATTAGGGAATTAAGTTTCTGGTTTATTTTCACAGTAAAAGAGAAAGGGAGGGAGGGAGGGAAAGAGGGGGAGAGAAACAGCAAGGCAGTGAAAGCCTCTCCCGACTCTGCCCTCACCCTCACCCTCACACATGTGAACTTGAATCCCATTTTCCCAACCTTCCATTCCAGAGTCCTTTTATGCAAATAAAGCTATCTGAATATGGGGGTGGGGAAGGGGGCTACTAAAACCATCTGCTTTGAATCTGAGATTGGGATCTCCTAACAGTTCTTTGCATGTAGGGTAGGCTCTGTATGTACCAATAGCATCCTGCCTCCACGATTCTGCTAGCCTCTCCTATAGGGCTCTGGTACAGAGCCTGGAGGGGATCTGCCTGGGCTACAACCCCCAACTGTGTGTGTGTGTGTGTGTGTGTGTGTGTGTGTGTGTGTGTGTGTGTGTGTGTGTTGGGTGGTATTCTATTTATCCTCCTGAGGGTCACAAGACAGCGGGTATGCTCAGCCAAGTGTGGCCTGGCCCCTGCTGTGACCTGTGGCTGAACACCTGCTGCCCAGACTCTTCCTGACCTTGGGCCCCCACTGTGGGTCTTTCTGGCGGCCCCGATACCCTGATCCAGTGCACAGCAAACACTGTGTGTGACTGGCGTTCCTGTCCCAAGACAACTCAGCTCACCAGGCAGGACGGAGGGAGCTGGCAATCACTTGTTGCCTGTGTTGTAGCCAAAGGTCAGGGTTCCCAGGCTGCCCATCAGCAGAGAAGAAGCACAGAAATAGAACAGAATCCCAGGGTTCCTGTGTGGCTGGCTCAGAGGCCCTCTGTGACTCCCCAGGGGACCAGACCTCGGCCCCAGGGTTGGGCAGTCCTAACCAACATTTGCCACATCTCCAAGCGGTTTTGGTTGTCACAACCTGGGGCTTGGTGGTGATCCTGACAGCCAGTGGATAGAGAACCCCACTCAGCATCCTACCACACACAGCCCCCACCAAAAGAATAGTCTTCCTTCCCAAATGTCAGTAGCGCCAGGCTGAGAAGCCTGTCCTCTGAAGCCCAGCCAGCACAGTGGAGGGGCTCCCTGCCCAGGCTGGCTGGTCCAGGCGTTGGTCCTTTGCGGACAGGGACCTGCTTCCTTGAGCTAGGCTGAGACCTACATGATCCTGGGCCAGTGGAACAGATGGGACGGAGACTTCCAAACCATCACAACGCCAGGCTCTGAAGATGGGGAAACGTGGGGGCACCCCAACAACCCCACACTCCTTTTCCCATCCCCACCCCCATCCTCACCCAGGGCTGGGCAGGCACAGGGACAGCTAGGGACAGCTGGTGCCTGCTGGCACTCAAGGGGATCCGATTGCAGGGCATCAGGGTGGGACTTAGATAGGAGGCAGTCTCCGATTGGCTGGGGACTAAAGAGGCGGGCCCTAGAAGAAGAGTGACAGTGGGGCTCCAGATGTTCAGGCCACTTCCCCGCCTCCCGACACCGCAAGAGCCTAGGAGAGAATGGGGTACTTTGCAGTGGGAGAGAGAGGCAGAGGATCTCCTGAGCCCAGCACCCTGGAGATCCAGCAGGGTCCTATCTGAACCTCCCCATTGGGATTCAGGGTAAAACCTTCCCAGGTCTGGACCCCTTGCACCCTCAAGCGCCCTTGGAGGGGAGGGGGTGTTGTGAGTTTCTGCCTCTTTGTGGACATACCAGGGAGCATCTCCTCCTTGCCCTGGCTTCCGGGGAGCCAGCAGGCAGACAGCTGGCCAGGATGCGCCTCCTACCCCCATCAGCTCCTGTGTGAGGCACAGCCCTGCAGTGACCTTCCATCTGCCTGGTTCTTCTGCAGACCCTGGGCAGGGGCTGCTGTGCCAGCCCAACTCCAAGACCAACAGAGCCGCGTCAGGCCACGCCATGACGGTGATGTCCTGTGGCCCAGAGAGTTACTACCCTCTGGAGTGGCCACTTGAAGTCTCCACGTCTTCAGAGCTCAGATTTCGCCTAGAAAAGGAGGAGAGGGACCATAGCTGTTCCTCTCGATGCCCCTATAGGTACTTGGGGGACAGTTGTCTCGTCCCAGTCCTCCAGGCTGGCTCCTTGGATTTCTTGTGCAACTAGACCACCCACCAGGGCCTTTCCCCTTACACACCAGGAAACTGAAAAGACTGGCCAACATATACCCCCAAACCATCTATTGCACCCACTCTGGGGACCCGGTGCAAGTCCTAGAACAGCAAATGATCCAGTCTAAGGCCTGCTAGTCCAGGGAGGACACACTGAGTGTTTCACTTTGACTGTGATTTTCGTGAGTGCTCTTTTGTAAATCTGAAAGGTCGTCACTCCTGTTTTACAGATGAAAGGAGTCTGGGCCAAGGTCAAATGAATTGTGTAAGGCCATGCTAGTAAGCGCCCTTTGATTCCTATACCATGCATAGAAATCTCCACTCTGCAGAATCACTTCCTGCTACAAGGGTAATTGAGTCTCGGAGACCACCTCTTTGAGACTGCTGGTACCCCCCCTCAATTACTGACTCCCCAATGGGACCCACCCACCCCCACCTCTGCCCATTAACAGCTACCTTTCCTCAATGAGGATGAGGTCAGAGCCACATGGGGCCCAAGGAGGATGAGGTCAGAGCACTCTGGCTGGTGCAGACGCTAAATAATTCATGGTGCTGCTGTAAGTGGGGGCTGTAGCTTCCTGGAGGACCCAGCATGGAGACAGCAGACAGGAAGTCTGTTTAGTAGCCCCCTGAGCACAACCTTGGCATGTCCTCTGCGGAGCTAGAGAAAGTGCTGGTCTTGATGAGAATGTTCATGTGGTGAGAGCCGGCAAGACACCTAGACTTGCCACTGCCATCTCTTCTGTGCTCATGAACTAGCACAATGGGCCACGAGAGCAAGTTGGGTGTGGCCATGACAGGGCCCCTTGGCCTGGGGCAGCTGTGATCATCCCCCAGCATGCCTTTCTGTGAACAAAGCATTTTATGAAGATGAAGTGGGGGTGGGGGTGGTGAGAGGCAGGCAGGCCAGCTGACAGACACCCCAGAATGCCTTAGAAACATACAGGAACACAGAGGCGTTGAGCCCTCGCAAGGAAAGGGCGGTCATTTAATTCCGAGTAGTTACAAAGTTGAACCCCCATTTACATCCACTGTAGGATTTAACAGTGTTGGTGTGACATCTTCCAAGGGACTGGCCTGTGAAGGATGAACTTGAACCAGGCCTGGGCCTTCTTGTTGTCTCCCATTCAAGGCTTGAGTGTGATACGGCGCTGCTAACTAGGAGGCCCCCAAACCTCCTAAAAATGGACTTCTCACTGGAACCGGAACTGGAAGATGCAGGATAAGTACGTACCATGGGTACTTCCTGCACCCAGGCAGAGCTGCATCTTCCAGGAGCCCATGACCCCTCAGCTGCAGCTGCAACAAGGACTTGGGCTAGAAACACAGCCACAGCCAGCAGACGCTGTACACCTAGGCATCTGGTGCTTTTGGAGTCCTAAAAGACACACTTAAGACAGCAAATAGTCCCTTCCTCGATGTGGCAGATCTCAGAGCTCTAGATCAAGGACAGTGTGAGGTGCATGGATTCCCCCTTCCTTTGTATGTGTGTGTGTGTGGAGGAGGGGGGTTGAATAGTGTATTGCTCGTAGATGGAGCATCCTCATTCAACAGAGAGGTCAAGCCAGGAGGAGTCACATTTGGAGGTGTAGTCCCACTCCGCGGGGACCTACTACCCAATGATAAAAGGCACAGGCTGCTAGGGGGCTGCATGGGAGCCTTGGACTGAGCGTGAGGCACCTTCCTGGGAAACCTCTACCTCAGCACTACGTAGAGCTGTGCTAAAGGCCAGGCACCAGGGCACACTTGGGGAGGGCCTGGAGGAGGCTCTGTCTGGTACCCAAGGGTAGACCAAAGGATGATGCTGTGGAGATCTTGTCCCCAGGGTCTGGTACTATGATCATCTCAGTCATGGGTGCCAGCAGCTCGCAGGCCCAGAAAGGGCCCTCTCTGACATGGGTGGCCTTCGGGTTCCTCAGGTGCATGTCCTAAGGCCAAGGACACTAGAGGTTCCTCTAGTGATAAAAAGCAGCAGGGCTTGTCCAGGTGTCCCAAGGACATCTGCTGCCCAAGCTGAGGTAGAAACTATCTTCCCACAAGCAATCTCCAGTCCTGGACCCCACGTCCAACATAGGAAAGGTTCAAGTCACCCTGAGAATGCAGCCCTGACTCCCACCCACTGTCTCCTAAGGGTGCTCCCAGGCCCCAACCACGTATGTCCAAGTAGTCCCAGCAAGTACCTCCAGAACCCACGAGATCCAGGTAATTCCACCGCTGCACCTGTCTTAGGAGCCATCCTGGGAGCCGACACAGAAGCCAAAAGCAGACTGGGAAGATGCGGCCAGGGGGTTAACCGAGGTACATAAATAATGCAAAGCTCTAAGCAACACAGGGGCCCGCCAGCTCTTCGACTCTTATGGGGGGCTCTCTGTGCGGCAGGCAGTGCTGGACAACAGGAAAGCTTGCCCAGTTGGGACAAGTGTTGTAATTCCCATCCCCAGTGCTGATGGGCAGTGGGGAGGGCAGGACAGGCAGAAAGAATGGTCTTGCCCTGGCGAGGGGACCCAGCTCACTGAAGGTAGGGTAGACGCAATCCAGGCACAAAGGTGCCGGGACCCGGGACCCTCAGGTCATGAGAAACAACCTGCCCAACCTGGGCTCTGCTCCTCGCTTGTGACCTTCCACAGTCTAGAAGATGGCAGAAGGCCAGGAGTAGGGCAAGGGATGACTTCTGTGTGGCTTGTCTCTAGAGACTCAGAGATGCATCTGACGGGCACTGTGTGACAGACACACTGATGGGTTACCAACATGGCCAAGAAGGTCCAGAGTCAAAACAGTGGCATCACACACCTGATGTTCACAGCGGGGGCAACAACCACCTGGAGAACCACATGGGGACACAGACTCCGTGACTTGGGGGATGTGTGAAGGCAGGAGATAGGAGTCAGCCGTTAGCTCCCTGTAGCTGCAGTCACATGGGGGCCGGGAGGCTAGGATGGGCAAGAGGGCAGATGATCCTATGAGCCCCAGTCACATGCGTCAGGTCTATCCTCAGGTCCCCACTCAGTCCAATGCTTCTGATTGGTAGCCTCTGGTCCCTCCCAGCTCCAAGGACAAAGGTGGGTAAACTGCTGGGCCCTGCTCAGCTGGGTGCAGAGCAATGAGGGTATCCGGATGAGGTGTGGTCCAGGGAAGAGGGCATCTACCATCTTGTTTTGCTTTTCGGGGACTGATCCTAAAGTAACCAGAAAGAACAAGAGTCAAACGGGACGGACTCCGCTGCTCACAGTCCAAGTACTGGATTGTACTAAAAAAAAAAAAAAGGCTCAGCCTGCCGGGAGTGAGCAGTCTAAACATAGAAGTTTGGGAGAAGTCTGGAGTTTTCTGCCAACAACCTTTCTCTCCCTTTCAGCAAAAAAATGAAATTTTCCCCCCTTACAACTGGTGTCGGAAAATAGCTTCTGGCTAATCGAGGACAAACATTCCCAAGCCTGGGATGGGCAGGCTCTCAAGTCTTGGTGAAGGACCTGGAGCTGACCTCCAAGGGTCAGAACATCATCCCATGCAGAAGGGACAGAGGCAGTTCAGAGCCCAGGACCCTGGTCTGGCTTATCCCAGGGAGAGCCAAGGATGAAAGCTGGGGCAGTCAGTCTGTCCAGTCTTGGTTCAGCCACCTAGAGGCTCTGTGGCCTGACTGAGTCACTTTGCTTATAAAAGGGGTTGGGACATCTACCCCTAAGAGCTACAGAACCCTGAAGAGACAGCATTCTGAGACTTCGCTCTGGAAATTAAAGGAAAGACTGGTCCCCCATCCTGCGCCACCTCCCACCCCATCCTACCCCACCAGCCATGGAGATGAGCCTGAGCAGTTGGGGAAAAGATTTTACTGCGCCCCAAATTCTAAGTACATGGATGCTGTGGCCCCTGAACTAACCAGGACATGGCCTGGCCTGCCTGTCTTTGTGAACTCACATTATCAACAGCTCAGCCCCATTCTGTACCATCCTGTTCATGCTCTGAAGCATGATCTCAGAGCTTGGAGCAGAATGGTCATGGGTCTCACCCTCGAAGTCACTTCCTATGGAGAGGCCAAGATGAGCTGACTCCCTCTGCACCCCTAGAACTGCCCACTGGTGGGTCTGCCTCTCCTGTTCTGTCTCTGAAAACACCCATGAGAGAAGATAAGACCCTCGGGAAAGCTGCTGCCCAGGTTGGACACTCCCAGGTATGGGTCCAGACAAGAAGGACCCAGATGCTCATTCTGATGGCAGTTAATGGCAGACACACTAGAGAGCCCTGTCCCGGAGGAGGCACCAGCCCCTTAGCACAGGAGACACTAGAAGAAGCATCAGCCTCAAGAGCTGGATGTGAGGAGGAGAGAGAGTGCCCTCACTGATGCGCCATGGAGAAAGGAAAGAGTCACAGAGGTGAGAACCCAGTCAGAAACCACAAGCCCAGAGCAAGAGTTAATAAAGCAACAATGTGTTTATTAGGCACCCTTGCTCCTCACAGAGGAGCAGGATCCAGCCCAAGGCATCCTCTCTGAGCTCTCTGGAGGCTGCAGGTGTCACCGGAGAGTGTAGGCATGGGACCAGCCACCACCCCAAGCAGAACACTTTGGATAGAGCAGATCGCCAGAGGTGGCCCTGGCATGAAACAGGGCAGGCGCCTGGACTCCACAAATACTGAGAGGGAGGGGGCCCCCCACGACACCCACCCAAACATTGGCAGATCAGGGGACCTGACCCTGAGGCAAAAGCTACCCTGAGCCAGTGAGGGAGAAGGGAGCCACAGAGCACGGTGCCCCTAGTGGTCCCCCACCCAAGCCAGGTCCTGAGTGCCCTCTCCAAATCCACCCACTTGCGCCTGGCCACAGCTGCTGCCTTAGTCCCACACGTAGGGATTTCTAAAGACCTGAGAGATCTTGCTGTCTTTCGGTGGTGTGGCCACCTGGCTGCTCTGGACCACGTACATGTCTTCAGCTCGCAGGGTTGAGTTGGCACTGCCCATCACCTGGCTGTTGGCGGTGGCCCGTGGAAGGATGACGTCATAAGCGCCTTCGGACTGGAAGGAAGAACAGGAGGTCTCACAGTTGGGGGAATCGGTAGCCAGGTTCCGCCAGGGCAAAGGCACACACACTCAGCTTCCTGCAGGGCTGTGCCTGCCGGCTCCCACCTCTTGACCCTCTCCCCACCCCCCACCCCCCACCCCCGCTAGGCCTGGGCCCTGCTGGCAGGATAAGATGGATGACTCTACCTCTGGAAATAAAGGACTGGCCTTCTGAGCACTTCGGGGTGTCCGGAAGGAGACCCTGCCTCTGAGTTCCTGCTCCTAGTTCCTCGGGGAAACCTCTGATGAGCTGCATTAAGCTGTTACTGCATGACTGGTACCACTCACAAGCTCCCTTTCTCCAAGTGTCTTACCTGAGTCCCCAAAATGTTACTACAACACTCAGTACCCTTCTGGTAGGTCCTGGTTCATATAACTCTGGCTTAGGGATCTGGCCCCAAATATTCTGCCTGGAAGGAACGTGAACCCCTGGGGTGGTCCCGGCTGCCTTATCACCATGTAAGACAGATGTTACCACTAAAGCTCCAAGGCTCCCAGGACCCCAAACCAGCAGATATGGGTGACCCTCCCACCTGTGGGGGGGATTCCCACTTCCAGGAACATCCAACTACTCCCTGCCATCTAGGACACTTAGATCTGGGAGCTTCCACACGGGAATGCACCAAAATGAGCAGGACTGTTTGTCAAGCCCTATGCCTAGCTGAACTCCAACTCCTTGCTGGTCCCCACCCTGAGATAGGTTGACAAATGTTTAACTGCAAGGACGGGAAAGCCTGAAGTTCCCTGTAGATCTGCCTTGGGGAGTGACTCCCTTTTAGGTGGAACCCAAGCTACCGGGTGACCTCAAGAGCCCCCACCCCCAGGTTACCAACAACAGAAGTCACAATAACCCGTTCCACCTCAGACCCAATCTGCATTTTAAGCAAGTTCTCAGTCGCTGCTCACTTTGGTGGTCTGAGGACCATGGTGTGAGAACTCAGCAGAAATAACAGTCCCGTCCAGCTCACCCTCCAAACTGGGAGAGAGGCTGGGGTGGTTCCTGTGGACAAGGTTCAGAGGCTAGGCGCGGAGAGGTAGCCTCTGATCATGGTGAAAATGGAAACTACTCAGATCTGCTCCAGGCTGCAGCTTCACACTTGGTGAGAGAAAAAGAGCTGGGACTGGAAGTCTCAGACACACCAGCCATTCCCTGCTCCCAGCTTGGGGGGTGGGGAAGGGATGGGAACAGAACCCTGCTGACCTCCTGGCTTCCTGTTCCCAGAATCCTGCCAAGGCAGGTCGCTGACCTCTCTGGCAACCACTGCCAGCAGGGAGGAACATATATGGAGTTGGAGTCTAATCCACCTCCTTCCTGTTCCCACCGCCCCCCTAACTAATGGAGCACTGGTTCCCAGAGCCCAGGGGAGGTATACGGTCAAGACTAGCTAGCCAGGCATAGGGTCTCATATAGCCCAGGCTAGTGGTGCAAGCTGTAGCCAAAGATAGCCCCATATCGAGCCATTGAGCTTCCTGCTTCTGTCTCCCAAGTGCTAGGATTACAGGTATGTGCCACCCGGCTGTGGGTGGTGCCCAGTGATGCAGGGCAGGTCCCACTGTGGTGTACTAGAGCCCTGGGTTGGCAGGGCTGATGTCCCAGGAGAAATTCGCCATACCCCAATGTCTCTGTCCATCCATACACTCACTGCCTGTACAGCCTCTCTCCAAGCAAATGAGGCTTTCATCCAGGCCACTGGAACCTGAGGGATCCACTCACCGGGCCTTTGTGCATCAGGGCCATCTCGGTGGGCTGGTACACACTCGTCAGCAGCTGCCCATTGTAGCCACTGTAAGGTGACACGGGTCTCTTGGCTGTGGGTGAAAAAGAAGCTCAAATTTGAAGATTTCTGAACTGTTGTCTCCTGCTTTGACCCACAGCCCAAGCAACTCTTCTGGGCATAGGGAAATGGGGTCCCTAGGGCCCTCTCGTAACACCCGACCCAGGAGTGGTGACCTGAGAGTGAGCTGTGGACCTGGGCCCCCTCCCACGCCTGGTGCTCTTTTGTTTAGATGTACAAAAGACTGCTGTTTGGATCCCTGCATTGTGGGACACACACACACACACACCACTCGTCCCCCGCCCCCTCCCCATAGCTCAGGAAATTCATGCTGTCAGCAACCTTCACATCCTATCCGCCCTCAGGGCCAGAGGCCAGGAGGGGCACATGAGCCTTCGGCTGCTCTCCAAGACGGCCAGCCTCTAGTTCCTGCCTCTACCACTATGGACCCCCTGCCAGGCACAAGAGGAAATACAGCTGAGACCCTGCAGCTTTTTATGTGTTCATGTCCTCACAGGGCATGGGTGGCTGCTGGTGCCACCTTGTAGCCATGCAGGGTCCAGCCAGGGAGACTTGGTGCTCAGTCCATCCCGGGCTCCCTGGCAAGTACCCAGAGAGATTTGTAGCTGCTGCCTACACCTTCTGCTGTGGGTTTCCCATCTGATCCACCCTGCTGGGCACCTCTGGGGTATCTGGGAGCTGCTGATTAGGCTTGGGGCCCAGGAACAGGCCTTCCCGAGGAGGCCAGGTATACAGGATTCAGCTGACTTCTGCTGGGCTCGGGGACCACAGCCTATGCAGGATTCTTAAGTGCTGAGCTCGTGCTATTGATTTTTCCATTTTGGAAAAAAAAAATGAAATAAATAAAAACACAGAGTTATCTCCACGAGAAGAAAAAGACTAAGAACTCTCCGGCCTGACAAAGGTGTACTGCGTTAGGAGCAGCGTGGGGCACAGGCCGGCCGCTCCTCCCAGCACCTGCCCAGGTCTTCTGTCTCTCTGGCTTCCTTAGTGACCCCCTCCCTGCACATTCAGTGTGTGTGCCAGAAGCCACCCCAGTGTGGGGACAGCAGTCATCTCCAGGGAGTAAGATCACAGACTATGTGTCCACAAGAGCAAGAGTCACCAATTTCCACAAGGCAGGAAGCATGAGAAGACCCTAGGGTTTGTTTCTAGAATGTCCATTGCCTCTAACTGAACTTCTGTTGGAGATCCCAGAGCCGACATGTGATAATCAGGCTCTGTCTAAAACCCCCAAATATCTTACACACAGTTGGGGTCCAGCAGAGTGCTGGTCATGCCTGAGGGGGTGCAGCTTATGAGTCACAAACCTACAAGGTCTTAGCACAGAGTCCAGCAAAAGCAGGTATCCCATAAATGCTAATATTCCTTACAGTAAACAACAGTGCTGCTGAGGTCACTGTGGGTCATCAGAAATGGTTGTTTGTGGTGCTGGAGACTAAACCAGGGGCCTTGGGTCTGCTACACAAATGTTCTACCACTGAGCTACACGCTCCATCCCTGAATGCAGGGGCTTTGAGCAGAAAACTGCAGACATTCACAAGACCTTCCATTTTTCTCAATGGCTCCCTGCCCTGCAGGAAAAGACATGGCATAAAGGATGGCTCAGCCAGGTAAGGGCGCTTGCCACCAAGCCTGACAAACTGAGACTGATCCCCAGAAGCCTTATGGTAGGAAAGAAAAGACTGACTGAATAAATAAAAACAGAAGCTGGAAATGCTGATGCATACCCATGATCCCAACAACTGGGAGAAGGAAGGACCCATTTGAGACCCAGCTTCAGCTACATAGTGAGTTCAAGCTCAGCCTCAGCTACATGAGACCCTGTCTAGTCTCACACACAGACACACCTGGACACACACACACACACACACACACACACACACACACACACACACAAGGATATACACAAACTTCTTGCCACACCTGAGGCTGGCTCATCCATGGAAAATGCTTTGTTCTCCACGAACATGCTCTGGCCCGTCTGCTCTTTCAGGATGGTCTCGTAGCCCACGCCGCGGGTAGGGTACATGTCCCCCTGGTAGCTCTGTTCTGGGCTGGGTTTGGTCACCTGGGAGACCTCGGGGATGACATAGAAGAGGACAAAAGTCCAGGCATTGGCAGCGAGGGCAATGGCCAGGGTGGGGTCATCCCAGGTGGGGCTATGGTGCTGCTTATTGCCATAGGTGTACATGACAATCCATACCACCCAGATGGCAATGGAGAGGGACGTGGTAAGCAGCACAAAGACTCCGTGCTTCCGCCAGCGCTTAAAGCGGCCACACAAGGTGGGCCAGGCTCCTAGGAAGGATCCCAGCAGTAGCAGCATTACGTAGATGAGTGCCATGACAAAGTCCATGTTGGCGATGGCACAGGGGGAGGTCATGGTCCAGTCGGCACTGCCACTGCCATTGCCCAGAGAGCCAGCCTGGCCACCTCCCCGGACCAGGGTGATGATCAGCCACTCGGTGTTGATGATGACCTCCACAAGGGTGAGAAGCAGGGCCACAGTGAAGATCACCCAGCCCCGGGGCCCATGGTTCTTCCGGGCTAGGAAGTTAAGGGCAAAGACGTGGGCTATCAGGCAGGAGAAGCAGATGGCAAACAGGACCCCAAAGAGGAAGCGTCGAGAGGCGCAGGTGGAGAAATCAGGCTTTACCACGCAGGCAAACACGAGGCAGAAGAGGCCCAGGGTGCCCAGCAGGAAGAACACCTGGGTCCCCAGGAGGCTCCGCTTCTTCGTGTCCTGCACAAATGGCAGGCTGGCCACGAGGATGATGGTGAGCACAAATGTTGTGATGACGCCTGCCCCGGCCACCGCCTCCAGGACGATGCCCCATGCCCCAGAGCGGTCACAAAGGTTGTAGTAGATCGGATCCAGGTCCGGGCTGCAGCCAGGTGGGGCATGGCTCTGGGCCCAGGCCCCGGGAAAGAGCAAAGGCAGTCCTAGACACATCAGCAAGGTGTTGTGGATGGCCATCCTGGCTCCCAGGCCAGGCTTCCGCTGGGTCCCTAGAGACAGGAATAGGCAAAATCAGTTCTCCAAAGTCAGACATCGATGAGGGTGGTATTGCTTCCCCCATCCTGAACAAGAGTTGTTCAGAACACGTGACGCTCTTTTTTGTATTTTTAATTTTAAAAAGATTATGTTTTGGGGCTGGAGAGAAGGCTTAGCGGTTAAGAGCACTGGCTGCTCTTCTAGAGGACCTGAGTTCAATTCCCAGAAACTACATGGTGGCTCACAACATCTACAATGAGATCTGGTGCCCTCTTCCAGCATGCAGGCATAAATGCAGGCAGAACACTGTGTACATAACAAATAAAATACATCTTTTAGAAAATTATATTTTATGTGTATGGGTGTTTTGCTTACATGCATGTCTGTGCACCTGTGTGTGCCTGGTGCCTGTGGAGGCCAGAAGACTGTATTGGGTTGCCTAGAATAGAAGTTAGAGATGGTTGTGAGCCACCATGTAGGTGCTGGAGAACTGAACATGGGTTCTTTAGAAGAGTAGCAAATGTTCTTAACCACGAATTCATGAAGGTTTATCAACTGAGTCAACAAATGAGGCTCATCTGTCATTCCTGATCCTTTGTTTGTTTGTTTGAGACAAGGCTTCTGTATAGCAGTCCTGGAACTTGCTTTGTAGATCAGGCTGGCCTTGAACTCATAGAGATTCGCCTGCCTCCTGAGTGCTGGGATTAACGATGTGCGCCACCACACCCAGCTGTCCTCCCTATTCCTAACCACAGAAAAGAAGAAATTTCTTTTCTTAACTGCTCGAGAGATGGCTCAGTGGTTAAGAACACTGGGTGATCTTCCAGAGGACCCAGGTTTGAATCCCAGCATCTACATGACGGCTCACAACAGTCTATGACTCCAGTCCTAGGGTGTAGCAAAAATCCTAATTGGCCTTAATATAAAAACCTGGAGTCAGATATAGGGCAAATGCTGAAAGATCAGAAAGACACAGGAGCAAGCCACAGCCACCACCTCTTACCTTGCCAACTCCTCAGCCTGAAAGAGACCGAGCTCCTGCCTCCTGCCTCCTTATATTCCTCTCTCTAGCCAGCAATATCACTTCCTGTCTCCACCTCCCTAGTGCTGGGATTAAAGGCGAGAGATCCCATGTGTGTGCGCCACCACTGGCTCTGTTCTTCTTTTAGACTGAATCCATCTTGTGTAGGCCAGGGTGGCCTTGAATTCCTGATCTTCCTGCTTCCTCCTCCCAAGTGCTGGGATTAAAGGTGTGTGCCACCACTACCTGGCTTCTACGGTTATCTAGTGGCTAGCTGCACTCTGACCTCCAGGCAAGCTTTATTTGACAGAACACAAAGTATCACCACATCAGGGGATCTGAGTCTGGTCTCCTCAGGCACTGCACAGACAAGGTGCACAGATATATATATGCAGACAAAACACTCATACACATAAAATAAAAATAAACCTTGGCGTGGGGACCACCAATGAACTTTCAGTGCCCTCCTTAACCCATCAAAACCTGGGTTTAAATATTCTTTGAGCATAGTACCACTTAGCACTGTCCTTTATGCCTTGGGACTTCCAGATAAGACACTGTGCCCCTCAACTAAGTCCTGGAAATGACAATGTCCAGGCCACTATGAGGACTATTCTTGTTGTCAACTTTACGACATCTGGAATGAACTAAAACCCAATGACTGGGCATACCTGTGAGGGATTCTTTCTTAATTAAACCATTTGAGGTGGGAAGACCCACCTTTAATCTGGGCCACACTTTCTGCTGGGAGCCTACATGAAGAACATGGAAGAAGCAGGTTCCCTCTTTGCCTGCTTGCCCTCCCTCTTACTGGCAAGACCAGTCCTTCACTGGCATTAGAGCACACTTCTTCAGGACTCACGCATAAACTGAAGACCAGCTGAGACATCCAGCCTCAAGGACTGAACAACTAATGGATTCTTGGACCATCTGTTGACAGACAGCCATTGTTGAACTAGCTAGACCACAGCCTGTAAGCCATATGTATATACTCATTCTATAAGTTCTGTTCTCCAGAGAACCCTGATACAGCCACTCAGCCATGCATTTCTCCGTTCAATGCACGTAACAAGCACCTGCAGCAGGAATAACCTACAGCTCGAAAGAAAATAGTTGAAAATTAGTTTCTCAATTCTTCTAGTTTGCTTTCTATTGCTTCGGTAAGAGGAAAGGGTTGGCTGGGCAGCAGGCTTTAAAAAGAGCAATGGGAGCCAGGTGGTGGTGGTGCACACCTTTAATCTCAGCATTAGGGAGGCAGAGCCAGGCAGATCTCTCTGAGTTCGAGGACAGCCTGGTCTGCGAGATCCAGGAGATGTAAGGAGTATATCCTTAATTATGTCACTAGCCTGCGACGGTGTGCCCTCTGTGCCCTCTCTTTTCCGTATTGCCTCTCCTTCTGTATTCTCTCTCTCTCTCTCCCAATAAAGCTCCAGAAAGGTAACCATGGCTCGTGATTCTTCTGCCACCGCAGCATCCAGTAATCAGCATGGCCGTGGCAGCAAGCCATGAGTGCTGCCACTTAACCAACAGGAGAGGCACCAAAACTACACAGAGAAATCCTGTCTCAAAAAAAAAAAAAAAGAGGAAAGGGTTTATTTGGCTTACAGGTCACAGTCCATCATCAGGGGAAGCCACGGCAGAAACCTGAAGACAGGAAATGAAGTAGAGCCCATGGGGGAATGCTGCTCACTGGCTTGTTTTCCTCAGTTTGTTTACAGACCCTTTTCTTACTTACTGTTTGTTTATTCATGAGATGGTCTTGCTGTGTAGCCCAGGCTGGCTGGAACTCACCACATAACCCGAGCTAACTCTGACTCAGGCATAGGTTACCAAGACTGGCTTCTGGTTTTTTTACTTTTAGTGCTAACTTTCCTCTTTAGACTCTACAGTTCATTGTCTAGTTCAGTACTAAAGACAAGGATAACATAAATGGATTCAGGCTGGAGAGATGACTTAGAGGTTAATAGCACTGGCTGCTCTTCTAGAGGATCCAGGTTGGATTCCTAACACCTACATGGTGGCTCACATCCATGTGTTACTCCAGTGCCAGGGAACGTGACACCTTCTTCTGGCCTCTGTCAGCATCAACTATGTAGATGGTGCACACACATTCAGACAAAACATTCACACACAAAATAAAAATAAAGTAAATCTCTTAAAAAGAAAGCAAACATTGAGCCTGTATGATAATGAGTATTCAGAGACGGGTAATGCCTAGGGGGCGCTCACCAACCTAAGACAGAGCATTTGTGTGGCCTGGGCATGTGTCTCCATGACAGGTAAGGTGACCTGCTGACGTCCCACGCAACCCAAGTCAGAAGCTCATTTTTTAGTAAAAAGGGGGGACCTGTAGGGCCCTGGCCCTCCCATTTTGGGTAACTGTTGCCTGCTTGCCAACCTTGACCAGATGTCCTCCCTATGCTAATTCCCTGCTAGGTTCTACTCTCCTGAATGCTTAAGGGAAGTTCCTTGTCTGTGTATCCTGCATAATGGGCGTTAACAGCTTAGATGCAAGATTGTAAAACATCAGCAGCTCAGGGGTTCTCCCATTGTGCTATAAACCTGTATTTAAGACCTCTTCCCTCCTTTAATAAACAGCATTCGGCACTAAATTAAAAAATAAATTAAAAAAAAAAAAAAAAAAAAAAAAAAAAAGCAAGAGCTGGGCGTGGTGGTGCACACCTTTAATCCCAGCACTTCAGAGAAAGAGGCAAGAGGATCTCTGTAGAGGCCAGCCTAGTGTACACAGTGAGCTCCAGGCCAGCACTACACAGAACCTGCCCCACAAAAGCACATAAACACACACACACACACACACACATCAAGAACCAAGCAAAGACAACAAGACCCCAAAGGGACTGATCTTTAATGGAAGACTTTAAGACACTGTATGTAGTGAAATGGGGGAAATGCCTATTTACTGACAGCAGAAAGGGAACAGATCATCATCCACTTACTCACTGTAGCCGTACCAAATGTTACAGATTTGTGCCAAAGAAGAAAACCAAAGGTGGCTGCCCAGAACAGTCTCCCTGTGTGAACTGAAGGGTGTCATGGGTTAAGAGAAATTCAAGATCAACTCTTTGAGACTAGGGTGGTGGGACTGTCCCTGACACGTGTAGAAACTTCTAGGTGCCATCCTTAGCCCCGCTCCCCGCCCCACCCCAAAAGAGACATACTTTGTGAGTTTTCCATTCAAAGCTTTAATTGACGTAGAAATTGTAGTAGTTTGAATAAGAATAGCCCCTTAGGCACCTGCATTTGAATGCTTGTTCCCCATTGGTGGAACAGGGAAGGATTAGGAAGCATGGCCTGGTGTGTCACTGGGGGTGGGATTTAAGTTTTCAAAAGACCAGGCCATTCTAAATCAGCTCTCTGGGGCCTCTTGAAGATAAGGATGCGAGCTCTCAGCTACTGCTCCAGCACCATGCCTGCCTGCTGCAATGATTCCCATCATGATCTTGGACTCCAGTTCTCTGAAACTGTAAAGAAATCCCCAATAAACTCTTTCTTCCGTAAGTAGCTTTGGTCCTAGAAAAACAGAGATCTAACATAGGACGTTCAAACACTCTAAATGAAACCATTAACAAAGCCCCAAATTCCCTGACATGTAGATCCTTTGTGTATGGTCACCCTACATGTTCAAGAAACTAGTTGTAGCTGGGCAGGCATGGTGGCGCATACCTTTAGTCCCAACACTTGAGGGGAAGAAGTAAATGGGTCTTTATGAGTTTGAGGACAGCCTCGTCTACATAGTTAGTTTTAGGCCAGCAAAACTACATGGAGAGCAAAAGACGGGGAAACAAATAACAGAAGCAGGGTGGTGGCGCACGCCTCTAATCCCTGCACTTGGGAGGCAGAGGCAGGCAAATCTCTGTGCGTTCAAAGTCAGCCTGGTCCAGGACAGCCAGGACTACACAGAGAAACTCTGTCTTGAAAAACCAAAATAAATAAATAAACAAATTTTAAATAGATAAATAAATAAAAGGAGTG